AAACCCGCCTAAAGCCCCCTGTTGTCTTTTTTTTCCCCCCCCCCCCCAGCTTTGTTCTGTCTTTCTACTTCTTGACCTCATTTTTCCTCCTCATTGCTTATTCCTATTTGTCTCTCGTCTCAGATTATGCCTCTTGTTCTCGTGTCTTTTTTTAATGGAACAGATTGATATCTGGGGCTGTGTCTAGACTGGGAGAAAGGTTGAGTTTAGTTCAGCCGTAGGTTGACGTGAGCCGGCCAGCTCCATTCAACCGCATCTTGACAGCCGGCAACACGCAGCCATCGGTTCGTCCAACTTCCAGCCAGCAGGATGAGAGTTTGCGCTCCTGACAAGAATTAAATTTGCCTGGTAAAACAGGTAGTTTCTTTAGGTTGGGCTGAGCTAGGTAGTGCTAGCCCATCCATCCCAACCTCAGCCTCCGGTGAGAAAAGTTGAGCCGTTCTAGAAGTTCTCCTTATGGTTTTTCTGGTCCGAGGGTGAAAGCATGCGCTATTATAAGCTTTGCGTAGGCTGATGAGTAAATTGCTGGATGAGTAAGTTGCATGATGGAAAATATATTTTTATTAGTGGAGCTCTAGGCCATTTCTTTTGCTCGTCTTACTTTTTCCCCTTGGCTACCAGCATCCAAGGCATCAATGGAAACAAGCTGTTCCCTGTGGCTTTTCAGATGGTTGGAAGGAGGTGAGGCTGATAATGAGGAAGGACCCCATGGTATTTCATTTCCAACGTTCTTGATGGGTTTCATTCATATGATTTCTACTTGTGTGAGAAGGGTGGGTGCATAGGAAACGTGGGATGACTCTTTGGTGCATGCTGTGCCCACAGCAGCAGAGCTGGGTAAGCCAAGGTGGGTGCTGAGGTGATTAACCCAAAGCAAAACCCAAAGGTGATTAACCCAAGATCATTTCTCGAGGTCCCTTGGCTTTGACATTCAATTCCTTCACCGACAATCATCCTTTTACTGGTTGTTATGGTTTGAGCCACACACAATTTATTATCGTTTAGACAATTAAATTCTTTCACCCAATGACCCCTCCCTACCTGGGAAGGGGAACTGGGGAAAAAACAAAGCAAGCTGAGGGTTGAAATATAAACAGATTCAATAGAATGAGGCTAAATAATTAACTTTAATAGCACTAAAGAACCAGTATGGATCCCAGTATCAAGAAGCCGTGCACTCCCAGCAGGGACAGCCAATGTGGGACCCTGTGAGCGCTGTGACTTCGGCAGGAAGGGAAGGGCTCAGGGCTGTGGCACCAGGGCAAGGCGTTCTCAGGATGGTACCCACCAAGACAGAACTCCTCAGCAAATCTAATTTATATTGAATGTGATGTTCATGGTGTGAAGTAACCCCGTTGGCAGCTTGGGTCAAGTGCCCGGGTCTCTCTACTCCTCATCCCTGTTCCTGGCAAGGCTCAAAAACACTGAGACCTTGGAACCCACGCACCAGAGCTGGCTATAAAGTAAATATTTTCACAAATTCAGACACCATAGTCTTCTAAAAGTGCAGTTTTCCCAAGCATTAGAAGAGACCATAGTGCAAACTAAAATTACTGCACCTGTGAACGGGCATTGGAACAGGCTGCCCAGGGAGGTGGTTGAGTCACCATCCCTTGATGTGTTTAAGGGACGTTGACATGCGGTACTGAGGGATATGGTGTAGGGGAGGACTTTGTAGAGTAGGGTAGATGGTTGGACCCGATGATCCCAAGGGTCTCTTCCAACCTGAATGATTCTATGATTCTGTGTCCCTCAAACTAGGACACCAGTTCATCACTGGTGACGCTGGTACCACCCCACGCCAGGCGTGCTCAAAGTGGAGGAGGAACCGAGTCCCTTTGCCTGGTCTTGGTCTACCAGAGTTCGTAAAACCCTGTGTTTCTGGCGGCCTGGCCTGGATCAAGATGGTGGGTGACCTCCTTCCCGCTGGGCGCCATGTTTGTTTGACATGGCGTGCCACTGCCTAGGCCCTCCCGGTGCAAACCGCTGGGGGAGGACGGTGGGTGAACCCCGCCAGCACCATGCTGGGGTACAAACCCCCCCCTTTGCTCCCTTCCTTCTGCTGTTCGCCTCAGGGAAGGGGCTGCTGGTTGAGGCCTGGTGGGCCTCACCGCCATGGCCGCCCTGCACCTTCCCCTCCTTCCCACTGCCCCCTCCCCACCGCTCCCCCACGGGAGCGGGAAGGAAGGACGGACGGAGGGACGGACGGAAGGAGGCGGAGCGGGAGGGGGCCGGGCCCCCCTCGGTGCACCGTGCTCCGTAGGCGGGTGTCTGCGCTGGGGAGCGCGGAGCCCGGCCGGGGCTTAGCATGAGCCCGGGCGAGGTGGCCAGCGGCCTGTCCCCCCCCATCGCCGGCCGCCCCTAGGGCCGAGCAGGGCGGCGGGTCAGACCCGGGAGGACGGGACGAGGCCGGGGCCGGGGGTCGGCCATGGCGAGGCGCGACGCTGCCGGGGGCCGCGGGGTTACTGGCAAAAATTGCTGTTTTGGAGAGACTGCCAAACCCAGTGTGTCATCTCTGCTGATGAGTGTTGCAAGTTCTGCAGGAAATAGCCCTTCGGCCTAAGCAGTTATTGCTATTGGATATGCCAAATTCATCTGTATCTTCTGAAAGACTGAAACCAATAAAAGGAACTTACCAGAAGGAACTCGATTACCAGCTATTCAAATTCAGACACTTAGATTTTGGAAATAATGTCGATGTTCTTAACAGCATTCCAGTTGTTCTTAAAATGGAACTTAAATAATAGTCAGTTCTGGTTTGAAGTTTTGCATGCTTGATCTTTTTCCTCTAAAATTCATAGAAATAAAATATTATATTATTACGGTTTTTTTTTCCTTTATCTTTTTTTTTTTTTTTTTTTTTTTTTTTTTTTTCCCCCCCCCCCCCCCCTTTTTTTTTTTTTTTTTGCCTGAGAAGCCACGAACCGTGCCTTTCCTCCACGCGAATCTGGGAGCCGTAAGCCGGACCGATTGCAAATGAAGTGTAATGCATTGTGGGACGTGTGTAAAATTGGATCATTCGAGGGGAAAAAAAAAAATAAAGGCAGGCAGGGACCTGCGGCTGGCGTCCCTAGAAGAGGCAGCGGGGAGATGCTGGCAGGTCGTGGCCGGCGGTAGCCACGCTAGCCCGATGCCCGGTGGCCAGCAGCCGGCCAGCCGCAAGGCCTGACCCCATGCTGCGGCGGGAGGATTAGGCTCGGGGACATCCTCAGGATGAAGAAGACGCGGAGTACGACCTTGCGGCGGGCTTGGCCTAGCTCCGACTTCTCCGACCGGGCCTCCGACCGCATGAGGTCCCGCAGCGAGAAGGACTACCGGCTGCACAAACACTTCCCACCGGCTTTTATTTCCCAGGCATCACGGGGCTACATGACATCAGGTTTGTAACAGAAATTTGTGGGGTGTGTGTGTGTCTGCCGGTGGATGCGGGATGTGTGTCCGGCTGGGAAGGTAGGTAGGGAGGGCAGCCTGCGAGTGGCAGCCTAAGTTGTTATCAAAATTAAAAAAAAAAAAAGCATACATCCACCATTTTGTACCTCTGCAAGATTCACGGCGGGGCCCTTGCAATATGGTGTGTAAAATCTCTCGGTGGAGTGAAATAAAGGCAGGAGAGAAACGGTCGTGTCTCTCTGTCCTGAGATAAAAATGACTGGGTACGCGGAGCATGGAGCCCTTTGCTCCTTTTGTGCCTAAAAGCATGTGCTGGCTATTTACTGCTGCCCCACACCTTCCCCTTTAAATGCAGGTAACTCCGGTTAACTCAGCGGGCTTTCATGTTTTGGGTTTGTTTTTTTTTTCCGTTTCGGAAAGGAAAAGGGTCACCTGTGATTGCAAAGGCTCTCGCCCTTCTTACAGGCTCTCCGGGTTTTGGCTGCATGTTTCTTGCAATGGCTTTGGTGAAAATGACTGTAAACACCTTTGCATTTGTTATTTGAGGTGTAGAAGGAGATCGGACCCGTGTATGTGGGGGGAAAAGGCACACACGTGCACGTATGTTCGTTTGTCGATGGCTTTCGGGGGAGGCCGCGGGGAAATAATGGACACTGCACCAACGTGTTTGTGCATGGGAAGGAGAGAGAGCGCAAACAAAACAACAACAACAAAAAAAACCCACCCCAGCACGGGGAAGAGGAAAGGCTTGGCCTCCAATGGAGTGCTGCTGAGATTTGGGGAAGCCTCGGTACTGCTGATGGAAGCTTGCTCCATCCTGAAATGCGTCTTAAATGGCCTCGGAATTCAGACATTTCATAAACACCCCAGAGAAGACTTGGGAAAATGCTGACGGGGAGGGGGCCGGGGGGCAGAAAATCCTGGAAACCTCCTTTGTTGTTGTGCCGCCCGCTTATTGTGGCCATCGGACCTAACGTTTCCTTACTATGATGGCAAATCCCAATTTATCGTGAAGGCACGTTTTCCCTCTGAGGCTCGATTTAGGTTGAGTAGGCAGATTCCTTTAAAGGAGAAAAAGAGGGAGAGGGGGGAAAAACGAAGGTATTTACGCACTACTGAAAACGTTTCCAACCCTTTCCCCCCGCCCCCCATTTCTGCTGCAAAGGTTGAGCCAAAGATTGTGGTTGTCAGTTATACGCTCACTTTCCTGTCTCTGGCCCTAATAAACATGTCTCTTCAGTCAGGATTGGGTTCTCATGTCTTAAAAAAAATGTCTCATGACTGTTCTTCCTTTAACACCCCAGCACAAGGAGGGAAATAATGCGCATTTTATTGAAAAATCTGCCCGTGTGAGAATGCTGTGCTATTTTGGCAACAGCCGCTCTGATTTTTATTTTTTTTTTCCCCCTCCTTTCCTGGGAAGCTGCATATCGAGAGGAAATGACAAGGATAATTTATGCTTGAACAGCTGAAGAAGAGGAGAATGGTGGTGGTGGCGGCGGAGGGGTTGTTTTGTTTCCTGGCTGCTGCAGGACCCGACAGCAGCTGGAAAGCCAAATCTCTCCGTCCTGCCAGGACTTCTCTTGTTCTGCGGGGAACGTCCCGAAATTCCCACTGTAAGATAACGCTGTGTCAGTCCCGTTGGAAGTCAGTACTTGAAGGCTTTTCTTTCAACGTGGAAGCCCGTATTTAAAAGAGGAGGCGCTCACGTGAGCGTTTTGTGCCAAGCGGTGTGTTTTTTGTTGGTTTTTTTTTTGCTTGTTTTTAATTCTTCGGGGAAGCAGCCTGGCTGGGTGAAAGCTTTATCTTGGCAAGGTTGGTACAATCCAACCAGGCGCTCAAACACCAGTGATCTGCAGAACAGGATGTGTCACCCTGCGCTTTTTTTTGGCAGATACCTGCGTCCTTTGGAGGGAGGTGGAGGGCATAGATTTAAAATCTGCTATAAATGTTTTCAAGCAATCTCCAGACCCCTAGAATGCCGTGTTTATGAATATACAGTGCATCGATTTCAATAGCAACAACTGAAGGAGGAGGACAAATGTCATGTTTAGCTTGAGTAATTTGCTAAAGTTGTTGGAAGGAGAAGACATTGAAAATTAAAATCAGCAAATGTTTGTTGTTGTTGGTTTGGCTTTTTTTTTAAAAAAAACCCAACAACAACTTAGTAGGCTTTCAGCTGGAAATGCAATTGTTCTCTCTTGATGGATAGTTTCCACATCCATTTATTTTTAAAGGATCCTTGTCCACTGCCTTTCCAAATATTAGTTTTGGGAGGAATGGCTTCTGTATCTAACCACTTCTCAGTATTTGAAGGAAACTCTCTTCCTTGCAGGAAATCTATAGGAAGTCCTTTGGCGTAAAAGTTGTGGGGATCAGGAATACAAATGCTTTCTTTGTCACCCAGAATGTTGCAGGGGAGAAAGTGTCCCAAAACACATGGGCTTTTCAGAGGGCTGCATTCTGTTTATCCAACCATTTAACCTCATCACCATTAGCATTGTTGTGGTTCTCTTTTAATTAAATGCCGCATTGTTTGGGATGGGGGGTGGAGGGTGGGAAAGAAACCTTGGGGTTTTGCCTCAATTACGCTGCTTAGGGAAATATGAAAAAGCAGACAGTCAAACGGCCTTCAGTGAGATGCTAAACAGTTTGAAACGTTAATATTCCAGTGTGCCTGAATGGGGCATGGAGAATAGTCCATCTATTTCTTTCAGCGCAGGGAAGTAGGGAGTGATGGTGTTGCAGCCAACGCCGTGGTGGTTTATTTGAGGAAAAGAAGAGTCTCTAAGCAGAACCGTGTTTATAATGGAAGTGCAAAACCTCACCCGAGTTTTAAGCAGCCTTTTCAGTAAATCTCAGTAAGGACCAGTTTGATATTTGCTTGATTAGAAGCAGCATTGGAAGCACATTTTCAATACTTGCGGAACAGACTGCCCCATAATTATAGCAAATTGATGCAGATGCAGTTCATCTGAAATTTAAAGATCGTTTGACAGATGAAGGGAGACGGAAGTAAGGAGGTGGGGGGAAAAAAAGCAGGGAATTTAGAAAATCACACATTTTTCCTGCTGAATAATCTCTTGATACGTGCTATTAAATCGGCTGTACTCCAGGGTTTCTTTAGGCCTCCTAGCAACCGCTGGGTTCAAAGGCCACGCAAGGAGTTCATTGTTCATGCGGAATATTAATTTCCCAGTGGAGGACTGACTTGGAGAAAAAACCCTGGAAAAGAAAACTACAACAATGTAGAGCTTTGACCTTGCGTGAAAAGAGATGTTGAAAAGTTTGAATCCAATAAAATTCATGCCCGTTACTGAAAAAGGGGAAATGTACTTGAAGTTTTTGATAGATTGCCGCTTAATTGAAGGGAAAATAAAGAAATTTTATGAAACTGCCAAGCAGGATAAAACTTAATGAAACTTAGGAAGGCTTCACACAGTCACACGAAATAATACATAGAGCTTTTGAAATGTTGGAAGCTTTTTGCTTTTTCCCCCCCTTGTTTCCCTTCGTAAATAACAAAGGCAAATCCTGGATTTTGTTTTAGCAGAGAGAGGAACTGCACCCTGTGGTTGACCCAGCCGTTAAATGTTACCAGAACTGAGTAGCTTGCTAGAAAGAAATAAATTTTTTTTCTGCAGCCTTTCTTGAGCTCCTGTAATTGAGGATCTGGGTGTTGGAGGTAATGTGTCAGTTTGAGATGGGGGGTGGTGTAGGGTAACAGCCCATGCAGCATGAAGGAATGTCTGAAGAGCTTTCTGCAAGGGTAAAAACTTAATTCCAGAGCACGCTTGTTTGAAGGTTACCGTCTGAAAAGTTTGCAGTTGCTTTATTGCTCTTTGCTATAAAACTTCCTTGCAGAGGTTTCAGTGCTCCGAAGTTGAAGGGTACAGCTCAGTTGCGGTGTTGCCCTGCTGTTACTGGGGTTTGATTACCAAGTTGAAGCAGGAGGGAAAGGAGAGAAGTACGTAATGCTGCTATCCAACTGATGGTATCTGTGTGCAAATTAAAATTTGGAGGCGGAAGAGATACTCTAGCACTGCCTCTTCAGCCTCTTTGAAGAGTAAGAAGGACCTTGGGAGTGATTTGAGCAAATTGGAGAGTCCCAAGTATTTTTCTTTTTTTTTTTTTTAAGCTTGGACCTCTATCTCTAATTAAAATTAAGGTTGGGAGATAACCATGCAAGATCTGAAGAACTCAGTTTAACGTAATTGAGAAATGACAGAAACACGCAAAGCCCTGAAGCTTGTTTGGTTCTCCTGTCCCTTAATTCAGTTATCTAAAGGAATATGTTCTAGCTTGAAAGCAGCTGCATTGTAATTAATATTTAATGGAATAATCAGGATTGCATCACCTTCCTTTTCTCTCAGTGTGGTATTAAGAAGCACCTTCCAATTCATCTGCTTAACAGTAATGTGATCTCTTTGCCTCCCTGAATTCTGAGTAGTTTTAGGCTGTCTCAGACCAGACCCATTAGTGGGACAGCAGGAACTGGGAGCGTGGAGGTGTTGGTGGCTAGCAGGGCTACTTTTTGCCTCTTGGCTCTTGCTCTGTCTCCCTTGCTTCAGGCTGTGCTGACCTGATGGTCACTCCCTTGAGTGACTTCAGGGGCTGTTCTTGCTTTATTGCTTGGGAGGTTGCTCCCAGGCTCGCTGTGCCGTCAAGTCCCTGTTGGCCTCTGTGTCATCTCCTCACCTTGGCAGAGGAACAGGAGCTTTCACCACATCCCAGTGTGGGGAGACAGTTGAAGCATGCTCTGTCTTCAGACTGCAGACTCGGTCTAAGTTCATGGACCAGTCATTTTTGCCCAGTTCCTAGTTAATTTCATTTTTTCCCCTGGTTTCTTGCCTGAAATAACACGAAAGACCATCTCTCTCCTCCTTCTGTAGAACCCAGGTTTTCCCCTCTGTGGTTGCCTGTGCAGCACTATCTCACGTACACGTCTGTGTGTCACACCATGGCCTCCACACCTGGTCCTTTCCCACC